TTCCCAGGTCGCCGTGGACCATGGATACACCCAGTCCGCGTCTGGTTCCGCTCTCCTCGAGCCCTGCTGGCCTGGTTCGGGGCCCCTCCTGGCCCGGGGATGGCCGCGGGGGGCCAGGAGCACACCTCGTGCCGCCGACCAAGAAACGCGCAACGATGAGGTCGAGTAGGGGCAATCGCTCGGTCGGGCAAAGACGGTCCTCCTCCTCCTCCTCCTCCTCCTCCAACTCCACCTCCTCATCCTGTTACTCCTCCATTCTCCATCCTCCATTATCCGCTAACCATTATCTTCCTCCTCCTCCTCCTCCTCCTCCTCCTCCTCCTCCTCCTCCTCCTCCTCCTCCTCCTCCTCCTCCCTCTCCTCCTCCATTCTCCATTCTCCTTCTGCGCAATGCTGTGTCGGCGGCACGCTGAGGTGTGCTAGGATGTTTGTCTGCTGCCTGGTAAATGTTATATCTTTCTTCTAGGCCCCCCCACTCGCCGTACGCGTTCGCGTCGGCAGACTCTCGCTCCGCGCCATGAAACCTGGAAGCCGAGGCGGGTCAGCGGTGGTGGTTGGGGGACCGGGAGACAGGGATAACGCCCAAGAAGCCTCCAAGAGGCCTTCAAGAAGGAGGTGGGAGAAGGAGGAGGTGGAGGAGGCGGAGGAGGGAGACGGAGGAGGAGAGAGAAGGAGGAGGAGGAGGAAGGAGAAGGAGGAAGATGCTGAGGAGGAATAGAACCAATAAGGATTGAGGAGGGGGGATGCGAGAGAGGCTGCGGACAGGGTTTTGTTTCCCAGAGTGTCCACACCCTCCGCGGGGGGGATGTAGCGTTCACCAGACGAGACGTTCCAGACACGCGGCAATTCAGACAGAGAACTGTAATCGTGCGGGTCGCACAGTGCAAATGATATTATGGATGCGCGGTAAGGATGCAAGGGCGTGGGACGCCCATGCCGAGGCCCTTCGAGCGGGGCTAGCCATCGAAAGTGGTTGAGGATGGACATACAATGACAGAAAAAAACAAGGATGCAGTGTATCCTTGGGAATTCGCTCATCCTTTGTATGGGCTTGGACAGTAACTCAACCTCCTTCCTCCTGCGCTGCTGCGCTGGCACGGTGGCGGGCTGTGCAGCAGACAGCTGGACAAAGTCTTGATTGCGAAGCTGATAACAGATCAGCTCCTTATCCTCAGCTTCGGCTACGAAGCAGCGAGAAAACGAGACAGAAAATCACACTCCCGAAATGCAGCCGAGTTCCTCCTCCAGTCGGAAGGGCGGGCCGGGCGTTTCGCCTGAGACTGCCTTACCGCGCATGATCCTGAAGTTTCAAAATCGATGGAGGGCGGGTCGTGTCCAAAATGTGGCCTTCGCCGTAGCGCCACGCACATTCGTTCTAGACATTTGCCAAGGTTGTACTTAATTGAGAACGGCTCCTTTTCAACATGTGGCTCTCGCCGGAATGCCGCGCACGTTCGTCTTAAAGAAATCCAGGATGCCCGCTGATTAAGCCAGGTGGTTTTCAAACTGTGGCTCTCGCCTTAGCGCCAGGCACATTGGTATTGAACAATTGCAAGAGTTTCACGGAATGAGGGCGGCTCCTTGTCAAATGCGGCTCTCGCCTTAGCGCCGCGCACAGTCGTCCGAAACAGATGCGATAGTGTCACTGGTCGCGGGCAACTCATGTTCAAAATGCGTTTCTCGCCGAATCGCCGCGCACATGTGTCTTAAACACGTGCAGGAGTTCCACGGATTTCCATGCCTAGCGTGCCAAATTGTACTTTTTGGATCGGTTCATGGCTGTCCGGGCTTGACACTTACGTTGATTCGCGGTGTTGCAGTCTTACGACTGGTGTTATGGCAAGACTCGGGATCATCGAGACGTAACAATCTGGTTGATTCGTTGCGTTGATGTCCCGAAGCACACTTCAAAATCTTCAAACGCTTGCCTTCCAACGGAGCACTTCCCTGAGTGGAAAAGAACCCATGCAGAGGCCTATGACGAGGAACATTGCATGGAGGGCTTGTTCCAAAATCGTTGATGAATGCTGTGTTTACAGCGGTCCTCCTCTTTCCTTTCCTGCTTAACACCCCCCATCCACCTGCTCATCCCGCTAGTGCTCCTCATCCCACGACCAATCTAGGCGTAGGTGGTGTAAAGCGGTCTCTCTTCCAACCCTCATCTTCCCCTTCGGGGAGCGATTTATCACTGTTCCCTATTCATATACACCCCCTCCCCCAGGCGACTGGGAGCCAAGCCGAGCCAACGAGGGCACCCCCCACCACTCCCTTGTAATAAATACAAAACACACTCTGCCTCCAAATTCGGAGCATGCGCAGCGAACCCGATGCGGCCTCCCCCTACCATCCCTGTCAAAAAACGCAGCGAACCCGATGCGGCCTCCCCCTACCATCCCTGTCAAAAAACAATGCTGAATACACTTGGCGGCGGCGGCGGCGGCGGCGGCGGGGGCGGCTGCGGCGGGGGCAGCGCCTGCGGCGGCTGCGGCGGTGGCGGCGGCGGTGGCGGCGGCGGCGGCAGCGGGGGCGGCGGCGGCGGCGGCGGGGGCGGCGGTGGCGGCGGCCGCGGCGGCGGCTGCCAGCGGCTGCGGCAGCAGCGGCTGCGGCGGCGGCGATTCCGCAGCGGGGGCGGCGGCAGCGGCGGCGGCGGCGGCGGGCCGCGCGGTGGCGGCGGCGGCGGCGGACAGCGGCGGCGGCGGCGGCGGCGGCGGCGGCGGAGACGGCGGAGGCGGCGGCGGCGGCGGAGGCGGCGGAGGCGGCGGCGGAGGCGCCCCCAGTAGCTGCCCATCCAAAGACGACTGCTGAATATGCTGCAGCTCGGGCCAGGCTCGGGTGCTGCGTATGTGTTGGGAGGGCGGGTGGGAGTGAGCGACACGGCTTGCGGGCGGGGAGGGCGTCTTGACCCATCCCCCCCCCCCCTCCCCCTCCCCCCTCCCCTGGGCCTGCAGGGGTGGGTTCGCGAGGCGCCGGAGCGTCCAAGATGGCCAAAGATGGTTCTAAGAGGGCCTCAAAAACCAAAGATTACCTCCAAGATGGCTCAAGATAGCCTAAGATGGCTCCAGATGGCTCCCAAGATGCTCCAAGAGAACCCAAGAACACTCCAGGACGGCTCCAAGATGCGTCCAAGACTTCCCAGGAGGCCGCCAAGAGGCCAACACCCTTCAAAAACCTCAGGAACATCAATGCCGTTTTGCTTTCGATGGCTTTCGGAGGCCTCAAGATGGCTCCACGAGAGCCCAAGAGGGTCCCAAGAGATGCCATCGAGAGCCCCAAGACGGCCCCAAGAGCGCCCAAAAGCCCCCCAAGGGCGCGCCAAGAGGGCATGCGATTGTGGGGGCTTTGGGGGGGGAGGCTAATTCATGCCCCATCCCCCTACTTTGCTCGAGCTGTTTCAAGATGGCTCCAAGAAAACTTCTGAGGCCCCCAAGACAGCTCCAAGAGGCTCCCGAGAGGCCCCCGCGAAGCCCATAGGCGGCCCCAAAGAGGCCCCCAAGAGGCTGCAAGCGGCATACAAGACGTCTCAAGAGAAACACAAAATCGCCAGGAGGCCCCCAAGACGCCCCAACAGGCCTCCTGGCAAGTTTACAAGAAACATCCCAAGAGATTCTGAAATACATCCAAGAGGCCTCTGGCATTCTGGTTCGCCTCCTCTTCTGCTCTCTCCTTCCCCTTCCCTGTCCTCCTCCTCCTCCTCCTCCTCCTCCCCTTCCTCATGTGCCCAGAGGGTGCGCTGTTGGAGTATATGTGTCTCTTCCTCTCTTCCCATTTGAGCTATCGGGGGCATCGTTTCTGGATGGGGTGGTGGAGATAAGCGACGCGTCAAACATTACCCGTCTTTATTAGATAATGGTACATACTCCCACTCTGCCACAACACCGGCCAGTGGGGGCTTGAGCCAGGATGCACCATCAGACCTGTCAGAAACAACACATTGTCATTATGTCGTCCGCGTCGCCCATGCGCGGGGGAGGGAGCACATCCCGGGCGGAAGGCCGAGATGTCGCTGCCACCTGGGCGACACGCGCTGACTCCTCCAGGAGAAGGCTGGGCTCCGGATGGGGCGCGGCGCACACCTTGCGCACGCCGCCTCGCGGACGCACGCGCGGACGAAGGCGTCGCCCTCCCCTCGGCGCCGCACGGGCCTCGCCCGAGCACGTGGCGACCCCGCCCCGACGCGGCGCCCTCGTGTGTCGCCCGTGCGGCGGTGGCCCTGCGAGGCGCAGGCGACGCGTCGCCCGCGCCCGAAATGCTCCGTGCGCGTGCTGCTCGGACGTGGCGCTCCCGGCCCGGGCGCGAGGCGCGGGCGCGTCCGCCGGATCGCACGACGGCAAGACGGCGGCCGCGGGGCCGCGCGAGGGCGGGCGAGGTGCCGACCTCGCCCGAGCGCCGCGCAGGCCGTGAGGGAGAGCGGCGGGTGCCGCTGCCGCCGCGGAGCATGTGCCTCGTCTCCGCCGCGCCCATCGGAAGGTTCGCCGCTCCCGCCCACGCGCGGCCGGCGTGGCGTTCCTGTCGCCAAGTCGTCGGAGGCGGGGCCGCGCGCGAGCCGCTTCCAGTTGCGGGCTCAGAGTGCGCCGTAGTCCAAGTATCAAGATGTGCCACACTTGAGTCACGTGTTGTGGGATGGAGGGTGGGAGTAGGCAGGGCCCTCTCACTCGCTCGGCCTGGCAAACTTGGCCACTTCCCTTGCCCCCACGTGCTCCTGGCTGGCGATGCGTGCCCACAACCTTGCTCCTGCTGGTGCCCTCCCCCCCCATACCTCCCTCAGCTCCTCGACCCCTTCGACGTTTTCCTTCTCCGTCTCCGTCTCATCGCTCGTCTCCTCCTTGTCCTCCAATCCCTCCTCCACCTGCTCCTACTTCTCATCCTCTCCTCTCCTCTCCTCTGCTCTCCTCTCGCGCACGGTGCGCAGAGGGCTCCTGCTGAAGCGAGGGCAGCCGAACCGCCACAGGGCGGGCCCCACCTGGGCAGGCCGCGGCTGAGCTACGAGATCGGGTGGGCCCTCACGTCTTGTTCTCACGCTTCCTCGCCTGCTTGGTCACGCGCGCTGGCGGCGCGTTGTGCCTTGCCATCAGGCGTTCATCCGCAAATATGGCGTGCAGGGCAATCCACGCTACGCTCTTTTTCGCGTCGGTTTCCGTCGCGCACTCGTCACCAATCCATTCCTGCTCTCCAAAGCCGTCTGGGAGTCTTGGCATTCGGACAGTGGACACGTACATCTCGCCCACCCGCTGCGTGTCATATTTCACCTCCCCATCCTTCTCTGGTGTTAGCCTGTGCACCCTCAAGCATGTACTGTGCAAGTGGTCCTTCACAGAGATGGACGGATCGAGAGGTGCAAACCGCTTCGGCGGCGCCGTGTACTTTGCCAGGAAGGGACCGTGGGAGAGTATGTCGTGCAGGGCAACCTGCGCCGCACTGTGCTTCGAGTCCTGCTCCGTCTCGCACGCGCGCCCCGCCCACGCCCGCTCCCCCCAGCCGTCCGGCAGCTTCGGCACGCGCACCGAGCACCTGTAGCCGCCGCCCACCCACTGCGGGTCGCTGTACATCGCCCCGTTCTCCTGCCGGTTCCCCCCGATGATCTTCTGGCACGCCGCGTGCAGGTCCCCGCGCGCCCTCCGCCCCGGCGGCTCGCTGCTCCTGCCGGCGCGCGAGGCGGGCGTGGCATCGGGCGGCGCGGGCCCGGCGGGCGTCGGCCGCGGGCAGAGCACCTGGCGGGGAGGCGCGGGGCCCGAGTGTCGGGTGCTGCCAGGAGTGCCCCTGGCCCAGGGTGCCCCCCAGTCTTTCGCTCCGCTGTGGAGCCCCCTGGGGGATCCCCTGGGCCTCGTGAGGGGTGCTCTGGAGATCGCGGGGGCACCTTGGGCCGGGGGCACTTCTGGCAACGCCCGAGGGATCTGGGCGGGGGCTCGAGTCTGCGGGGAAAGGCCGTCGGCAACAGGGCGGGGCCTCGTCGGGAAGGTGGCGCGAGCTCCCGCTGCACACCTCTCACGATCACGGGGCCGTAGAAGCTCACGCCCTGGGTCGTGGAAAAGCGGCGGCAAGCCCAGGTTCTGGCAGACTCGAGTCTTATGTTTCCCCGAGCCGCGGGCTCGAACAGTTATCCAGGTCCTGATCCTTCTCCCAGCTCCTGGGAGCGAGGAGAGGGTGGGATCGAGGTGGATCTGTATACCCTGCGCTATGGAAACAAACCCTATCAAAGACTGACCCTGGCCAGACCCCATGCCAACGCCAGCCAACCCTCAAGCCAACCTCAGACGACCTTCCTGGCCAGCCCCTCACCCGCCCTGGAGAGGGTCATCAGTACAAACATCTATGTGTATATATATATGTGTATAGATAGGGAAATACATGTATACACGCACTGCCAGCGTGCTAACACACATAACGCAGCATAAGGAACGGCGGGGATTTCCTAGCCGCGGCGAGCTTCGGAGGTTTCCCCGACCTGCGTCTAAGGAGCGGCTCGGAAAACGGAGCCTCTCGTGAACCTAAAGTGGCCCTTACCTCAGCGTCTCGACTGCAGCTGCCTATACGTACGTGCTCAGAACGGAGCCCCCCCTCTGGGCACCCCGGTCGTCTCGGTGGCCAGGTCCGGACCTGCCCTGCCCAGAATCTGCTGGTGCGCCAGGGGCGCCTCGGCGGCGCAGGCGCCGCCCCACCCC